TGCGCCTGCTTTTCAGTCTTGTATCTGTACACATCTGTTGAACCTTCACGCACTGGTGTGCGAGCAACTCAAAATATCTCTGATTCGGGTCTCCCCTCAAGCTTGCATGTGAAATTCTGAATCGCCCATGCACCACAACATCTTCACCGCACGCAGCTTGCAGCCCAGTGTGTGTCAATGGTGGACGCTGTATTCGGAGCATCGTTAACATCGTCAGCACAAGCACCTGCAGTTGCGCAGGAACAGGTTTCACAGGCGCCACTTGCAGCACGCCCCTGCCGCGTGCTTTTGAAAGCAGCGTCCTTACCTGCCCAAAAGACGCCGTCTGTGAGGGCGCCGGACCTGGATTGCTGGCTTTGCTGCCTAACCCTGGCAATCAAACGCTGACTGTTGTCAATGTGGATCCGGCTGTACCCGAGGTCGGTACCTTGGCAACAAAGCCGGACGGGTCTTTTGTCTACACTTCAGTCATGTGAGTCTCACAGATGCAAATTGCCGTAGGGCGTCGAGAACCGCTTGGTCTGTATTCTGCTTTGGTGCAGACGCAGCTTCTTAATACCATGCGCTCTGTCAAAACGAGCGGCCTCCATGCCTGAGCACTACTGGTAGGCTCAAGTCCAATGCCTTCTATGAAGAGCTCTCTGGCGCTTGATTTTTTGAATCCAAGTCTGCAGTGCTCATTTTTGAAAAGGCTTCTTCTCATGATCCACGTGCAACCCATTTTCTATCCAACCACAATCACAGAGGTTTTTCCGGCAACTTCACGATCAACGTCACTTATAGCAATGGCACCAGCAATTTCACAGTCCCGCTAACAGTTTCCGTCACAGGAGCGCCACCACCAGCGCCGGTGGCAGTAAACGACGTCTTCACTTGCCCAACTGGGGCTCTCTGCTCTGTGGCCGGACCTGGCGTACTGGCAAATGACAACAGCTCAAGCCCTGGCACCACACTTAGAGTCGTGGGTTCGTCTACCGTCTCAAGCGGAAACCTTACCCTGCAGGCCAATGGGTCTTTTCTGTACAACCCACCACTGTGAGTCCCATTCACTTGAACTCCGGCATGGTGGTGAGGTCGTGTGTGTGTGAGAGAGAGATTGGGGGCGGGGGGAGGGGGTTAGGCACTGGCAATGTTGGGTTGGTGTGGTGATGCCGCCTGCATGTGGCTGCGTGCTCAGTGCTTGTATCAGGGTTGCAGAGAGATTTCTTTGCCACCTTCACAACTACGTGTGCTGCTTGCTCATACCACCTTGTTCCCCGCTCCAATATGTGACGTTCTTGCTGCAGAGGGTTTTCAGGGCCCGTTACGTTCAACTATACAGTCAGCAACGGCTTCTCCCTGCGGACCTCAACTGCAATCGTCACCCTGCAAGTCGAGCCTGTCAGCACAATCAGCTCGGGCGGCACGGAGGTCAACCTGCGGCTTGTCCTCAGCACCACCGACAATGCCATGGTCACCGCCGCTGCATGTCCTACAGACGTGACTAGACTTACCGCGCTTGCAGAAGGATTTGTAGCAAGGCTCCGAGCCGGTGCTGGCGTCACATCAGTGAACTTGATGGCCGTAAAGTGTGAATACATAGTGAGTGTTGTGCTCAGAACGCTCCATGTATGGTAGGGTGCCATGCGTGTCTGGATGATAACGTTTCCCCGTTCTCTCTTGGTCTGTGATGATTTAATACATTTGGCCCATCTGTGTCACATGGACCTCACTGACTTACTTGTGCTGGTGCCCTCGCGTTTTGCAACTGCAGGACAACAACAAGGTGCTCGTCACGTTTGCCACCAACGTGGCCAGTACCTCATCCTCGGCCGTGTCCAGCCTCCTTGGAGCCATCAACTCACCCCGTGACGTCGGCGGCGCTCAGCCATCAGCTGGGCTGTGCTCGTCGCCCATTCTTGGGCCACTGTGCAGCAGCACCAACTTTGGCTCTTTGAAGGTGGTGGACGGCTGTGCGACGGTCAACCTCCAATGCACCCCTGCAATTCTGGTAGCCAAGAAATGTGTCGTGCCAACCGGCACTGTCGGCGGCTACATCGTCGTCCGCAACCCCACCACCAGGGCGGCGACTGTCTTCTTTGACGGGGAGGTGCAAGGTGCGGACAGCGAGGAGGTGGCGATGGATGCTAGTGGCAACAACGACCAGGGCGGCGGTGGGCGCAAGCTGCTGGCTGCGGTGCAGCCCAAAAACGCCGTGTTCCAGGCATGCTGCGTCAGCCCCAAGCAGCGCGAACCGCCGAAGGGCAACGCACCAACCTGCAAGCGGGTCAATGTGGGCAAAAAGATGAACAAGCTGAAGCGGCTGTCCAAGTGCAAGTGCCTGAACCTGCGGGAATTCGTCAAGGCGGCAATGTGAGTGACGGGGTTCGGCTACTCCCGTACTTGTTGGCATCTGGACAAGCAGGCGCATGTGGCCCCCTGCTAGAGTGGGAAGCGGGTTAGGGTTGTTCAAGTGCGACTTAAGAGACCCACACTCACAGATACTTTGAGAGGCATGTGAAGTGACAGTAACGAAACGGCATGCTGACCTCCTCATTCTTGCTCTCATCGCTTGTTCCTCCCAGGACAACCAAGGTCAATGCCAAAAGCAGTGCCGCCCATTTTGTTGCGAGCTACCCGTTCACCGCCGGACTGGCCACACAGGTGAGGATCGAGTTCAAAACCCAAGCAACGCCCGCTGTTGATTTTGATCTGCAGCGCCTGCCGCCGGGGGGCACCAGCGTCTAGCCAGACGGGAGCTTGTTGGCAGGAAGGCACGCCTCCAGGGTGGCGGCCGCATGTGTTCATTTTGGAGAGCCGCAATTTTGAGCCCTGCATCATTGTGACAGTCGTCTGCGTGGCGCACCCCCTTCACAGGTGTGCGCGCTCAAGCCGACAAAGAAGAACCCAACGCGCTGTGTGACGCAGACGCAAAATGCTGGTTTTGCCACTGTGTCGTGCCTTGGTCCAGCAGCGTCCAACACGACAAACACACTCTCGCTTGAATTTGAGTCGGCGCGCGGCTTCTCTGTCGGACGCTTGCACAACGTTGTGGCGACATGCGGCAACAGCAAGTTTACAAGTATCAGCTCGTGCAATCTGGCGAATTCAAACGCCACGGTCATCACAGCGACTGGTGGCGTGCAGCTTGCCTCACCAGACTGGGATGCAGGCTGCCTGTGCAAGGCCACAGGGCGCAGGCCTGTGCTCTTGGTGCAGACAGCTGACGTTGTTGCTGGGGCATCCTGCACCTCAGCATGACAATGCCTTTGCTCTCAGCTGCACAATTCCACAGCAAGATTGGGAGCGAAGGGTTGGCCATCCCCAGCAATGATCTGATCATGACTGCGGACAATTGGGTTCAACACACGCGTCACTTGGGAGGTGCTGACCGCCTCATTGCCCCTGCACTCATCAAACGCATGCATGCACAGCCTTTGTGCCCCGGTCTATTTTCAACCTTTCACACGCAAATTGCGGGTGTGCCTGCAAACAGGCAGAGCAGTTTCCTTTACTGCTCCGCCGCCGCCTCATCAGGCAAGCATATGGTGGCCCCAATGCATGGCAAGGTGCGCGAGCATGCACGCCCCCACTCACAAGGGCTGCAGGCAGGCACCAACGGCGGGTTTGTTTGCCTTGGCCCGGTCCGAGTTGGGGCATTTGTCGTCACATTGCCCTTGTGTCGTCGGTCTTATTGGTTCGGTGTTGGTGCACCAGCGGCCCTTTGTCAAACCGCTCCCTTGCGACACTAGTGTGGTTGACCTGTTGGTGGACAGCAAGGAGTTGTGACAATAATGTTTGATGCAGTTCTGTGCCCGCGCGGGACGGAAGCATGGTTGATTGCCGTATGTGCCCTTGCATACTCCGCCCTTGCATATTCCGCCACTGCACACTCACCACGCGCACGCGCGCTAGTCATGCGACCACGCATGCGCAGCAAAATCCCGTTGGGACCTACTAGACCTCTTGCCATAAGGGATTGGCGTTTGATGAGGTGCGCCGCACGTTTGATGGGCTGCTGCGTTGACTGACGCACTACAGCCTGCTATTTTACGGTTGTGGCGTTCGCAACACATACGCTGCTGATTAGCAATTTGGCTGCCCAGCGAGTTGCTAGGTCCTGCTGCTCTGCCAACATAACGCCTGCATGGGCGGCTGCCGCCGCCAGCCGCAGCGCACTTTGACTGACAGATTCTGGTGGGGTTGCTCCGCAAAACTCTGTCAACTGTCTTTATGCACCCGTCACTAATAATATGGAGGTCTCTTCTGATTTTGCTGCCTGCCGTGATCAACAGGCGGCTCACAAGATATCCTGAGTCTTACGCCGCGCATGGCATGAGACGCACTCACGCCGTGCTTGGCCATCTTTCCAGAACCAGTCTGTCACCTGCACCAGATAACAAGACGTGCGTGCACGACGTCCCCAGGGAATGCATCTTCTCTTCTGCCAAACCTTTTTAACCTTCTGCAAAATCAATGTATAGAATCTATCACTCCTTGCTCGTACTCGTGGAGGTCATTCACCAATACAAAGAACTATCAATACACGAGCATGCCATTACCAACGTTATGTCATGTAACTGTTGCCTATGAACCAACACCAACCTGCACATCACCAGCACACTAAACAAGTTGTTAATGGCTGCGGACGCAAGAAATCATGGAGCCCTGATGAACGCAAACAATAATGTCATGTGTATCAGGGGTTGAGGGCAGACAAATGCATGATAGCGTGCATTGAGCTGCAATCTCTCTGAATCGAATGTCGTGAGTACTGTTGACAGCACTGCACTGACATACGTGTGTAACTGCAGGCAGTCAAGCTTCCGGCTGACGTGCCGCCTTGCATGTGACGCCTGCATTCATCGCCCTGCTGCTTTGAATCAAGAATTTGTATCACAAAAAATCCCTTACCATGAATTGTTGCACGCGGTTGTGGGGGATGGCCCAACTTGAGATGACCAGTCATGCAATTCGCCTTGATTCTTGTGTTTTTCAACTACCGCAAATTGTTTGGGAATTATATTGACCTTGGATGGCTCGAACTCCTTTTTTAACACAAATATAAGCTAGCAAGCATTCTTGCGTGCTCCAATAAGTTCTCCCCGGCTGGTAGCTCTGTCTGGAATCTAGCTCTGTTGACGCATCGTGCTACCTGCTCTGTGTGTCACAGGACTGTCGAAGTCAGTCTGAGGGCTCTACAAGTCTTCCAAGACTCTCCAAGTCTCCCAGGCTGACGGGACTACTGAGCCCCAAACGTCAACATCTAGCAGGGAGCAACTGCAAGCCTGAAGAGAGGACTACTGGGCTGCTAGTAGCTGCCCAGTATAGCCTGGGTGCACCCAGGGGCACGCACGTGACGGGGTCAGGGGTGTGAAGTTGTTAAAGAGTAGGTACTGGTGTGTGTTCTTGGATCAAGAGCCCGTTACCCGCTGCTGTTGTGGTGCTATACGTGAAATTATACACGGAATAAGTGGAACGTGTGCGCGCCTGCCCCCAGGGATGCTGGATCCCCAGATACTGTATGCTTAAGCTTCACAGAATGCTTTTAGCAACAAGAAAGCATGCGCCAGGCGATTTGAGCCCAGGAATCTGATTTCCCGGGGCTTTCCCTTGCAAACTTCACAAATCACTTCCCAAGCCTGGAACTGCTTAGGACGGGCGGGGTGTAGGGGTGGTAGCCTGCACCCCTCCTGGCTCCCGCGGAGCGCTGGCGGCCGCCCCTGGCAGGCGCCCTTACTTTTCGTGTGTGCGCCCGCCTTGCTGCGTTCCATGTGTGGCTCGGGTTTGCTTGCCATGTGAGGCTTGCTAAGGCCACAAACCATCCCCTCCTGAGCTATCCTGCCGTCTTGCTTGTATCATTTTGCAAGCTAGCAAGCTCTCGAGTCAGCAGGGGGAATGCAATTAATTGTTGTTGAGTTGACATGCTGGGGCAACATGAATTTTTGCAAATGGGGTCGAGCAAATCCACTTGGATTTTTTATATCAAAACAAACGCATTTCGGACAATGGGAAGAATTGTGTCTGCAGAAAGTTTGAGGCCAGCGTGCCTAGGCCAGATGAAACCCATGAAGCAAGACAGTGGGTAGCAAGCAGAGTACCACTGTGCGTAGGCTATGCACTCAAGTCCCCACTTACAACACATAATGCAGCCATTATATGCTACTTGGTGGCGCTGCAACGCTTTCAAGCGACGATTCCTGTTATTGCGGATCACCTGTTACTCACCTTGTCATTTGGTTCGCCCTCTCAGCAACACGCTGTGTAGCATTCTGACTGCATGCATGCGACATGCTGTACAGCATTTCCTAGTAATTCCGCTGCTGCATGCTAATGTTTGCGCACGACAACGCCTAACACGCATGCAAAGGGATGTTCACAATCACTGATTGGAGTGATGACATCATGTTGACCTGCCCCCA